ATCTTACAAAATCTAATTGTCAGTAAGATCGTATAAGATCTTATATGATCCTCGTACGATTTTTGCACCTGGGTATTTTATGGAACTACTGAGAATCGAGGTGTAACCCTCTCGGTTGACCGACGGCAGCGACGGCGACTGAAAAATTTTTAAAATTTTCTTTCTCGGCAGCGACGACTGCACTTTTTTCTGCAAAATTGTCAGCGGTGAAAGGTTAGCCGATTGACTTACACTTCTAGCTGCATTTCATTTATTATCGCGTTCATCAGCGGCTGCATATTCTTGCGCAATGGCAACGGTTAATTCTACCAAAAAAATGACTAAACCACCTATAAGTTATATAGGATTAATAATATTAGCTATACAAAATAGTCCAGATCAAAAATGTATTGTAAATGGTATTTATCAATATATTATGGATCATTATCCTGTAAGTATTTAATGAAAATATGAAATAATGATTTTAATTTTTTTTCTCTAGTATTATCGAGAAAATCAAGCAGAATGGCAACGGTCTATTCGATATAGTTTAGTATTCAATGAGTCTTTTATTAAAGTTGCACGAAATGAGAAACAACCAGGTTTGTTAAATATTGACATTCGATTACAGAGCTAATAATATCGATACTTTCTAGACAATATATAATCATTTCAACTATTGAAAAGAACGTATTATTGCATTAAAATAAGTGTAATATATAACTCCCCCTATAGGTTTCCGAGTAATGTTGGAAAATGTGAGGACAGGAAGTTGAATTAAAATAACTTTCAACATTTATTTTTTTGACCAAATTAATGTAAATCAAAAATTCACTCATGTAATACTTTGAGAATTCATAGATTGATAGGATATTTCAAGCTCTTATGACTGAATGTACCTTTTAAGAGACATTTTTTTTACGAAGTCAAATGGATTAAGAATTTTCAGTAAGGTTTCATCCAATAGTTGAACACTACGGTTGACAATATCACTCCAAAAAAACAAAAACTTAGGTTGAGTCTACGAAAAAATAAAATTTGCAAAAAAAATTATGAATTTTAAAGAATCTGTTGTAGTGTTTGATGGGCACTTAAGAATGATTTCTTTTACACTCTATAACCTATCAGATCATCTTAGTCCGGGAAAATATTGATTTTGAAATATATAGTTCTGTCAAATTTTTTCAATAACAGTTATTGCAATGTACTTTGAAATTTAGTTCGTTGAAAGAGAGTATCGATTAGCTTTTCTTGGTGTTTCATTGTAATTCTTCAAATCTTGAATAAAAAAAGTTCGAGAAATCTTCTTTTTGCCGAGATTCCTGTAATCAAACAAAAGTTCTTGATAAAGATCGGAGAATCGAACATATATCATATGGACCGATCAAAAACCACTCACTATATCAAGGGCAAATATTTGTCTTACCCTTAACGTATAATCTTTATAATATCGGGTGGCGCATAAAGAATGACGATCACAGTATTTTATCGATACCTTCTTCAATTTTAATCGCTCATATTTCGGCTTAGTTTTAAAAGACTCCTCATGCGATTCTCTACAGTGACTCGCATTTTAGAGAATCGCACGAGGAATCTTTGAAAACTAAGCTGAAATATGAGCGATTAAAATTGAAGG